CAATTACACAGAGCAGGAAGGCACTCTTCTGTATTCCCTACCCTTCTAAACTTCCCAGGTTATGGTAAATTCTCTAAAACTCAATAAGAATTTCTCCCACCCCCTAGGGAGAATTAACCTGGCATATTTGACAAGCTTTCCCATCTCCTTTCATTTTACACTGTGACATGAAACTTGGGTGTTGTAATCAATACTTATCTGCTTTCCTCTAGACTGTTCTTTATGCTGTGATTACTACAGCCATAACTAAGCTCTTTTTTTGAGCTAAAGTACATATCCTTAGAATGTCAGGAGGAATATGAGAGAATCCAGACTCTTTTGTCTTCCATGTCAAACTGCCTTGCTATGCTGAGGTCAGGGAAGTCAGACTGGGAATGAAATACCTGGTGATTTCATAGAGGTTACACACTGTAACTGCTCTAAGAAAATGGAATGGTTTGCAACTCTACTGGTTACACAGAACCAGTAAATCCCATTTGTTCAACCTTGAGCTGAGCCTCATAGAGATCAGTGTAGCTTTGCCTTCCTGTAACAGCCTCTGAGATTGCCAAAACACTTGGCTACTAATGTCACAGAACTTGCCATAGCATCCTGGAGCAAAGCCTTCAGGGAGATTTTAACCAACACCTCATGGGAAAGCAGCAGAAGGATGACTCTTTCTGTCACTGTGAATACCAGCTCCTCCAGACAGAAGCTGCCTTTTTCTTTGGCACTTGTCTGCCCATCTAGGACAATGGGCTTGGTAGCGAGATCTCTGGTGATGCCTGCAACAACAGTCCATGTCCATGTTGCTGTTAACTCAATTCACAAGAGCTTTAGGGCTGCTGTTGAGAGAGAGTTTATTGAGAAGTATATGAATGTACATGAATATTTATTTTCCCCAGGAAGCTTTTTCAGTCAACCAAGCATCTAGCATGGCTCTGACTAAGATGGAGAGATGAGGAATGATAAATGATTGCTTCTTGGATTCTGATCTCAGCAGCTTATGGGTAGGGAGAACATGCATTAGCCTGAATAAACATAAGTCAAGAAAGACGTGAAATAAAACTAAGATGAGCTCAAAAGCAGACACTGCCTACCATCTGTAAACTATCTGACTGAGTTTTTTCTTGACTGTGTAAGTTGTTCTCCTGATGCATGGTTCAGGGCAAACAGAGCATCTCATAATGAAACTGGCCACAGATGGGTAGGCCGCCCCTGTTAGCCCACACAGAACCTGCCAGCATGATGAATGATATGTGGCCCTGAGCTGGGGCCTTCTCCAGCCTGTGGCACAACTGGGAATTTGATTGGACTGCATTCAGTGAGGAAAAATAATCTATACCTTCATGTAGGCTATGAGTTAATAGTAAGAAGAAAACAACAGGATAGCACCCACTCCTTACAGAAAGTCACAGAGGGGAGATTCTGAGTTTTGTCCCTTTCAAGAGATGAGAGCCTACAGGATATCCCCAAGTGAAATATTCCTAATGCTGCCAACTGCCAAGTCACCTAGCTTGTATTAGTAATCTCCAATACTCATCCCCATTCTAGAGGAACAAACCAGGGACTCCTTATACATCCATTTCAGAGGGTTTCTAAGGCTTACCATCACATAGCGGGATGAGAAGTCACATGGCACAGCAGGCTTAATAAGCCCATGTCCTGGATCTCAAGGGAGGCAATTGGACTGTGTGCAGAGAGGTGCTGGAAACTGCAGGTCAGCAATCCCATAAGACCTCTGCTGGCTGAAGGAGCAGAGCTACTGATGTTTGTGCTCCCAGGCAATGCCTATTAAGCTATCCATAGCTAGTTAGATGCCGTTGCCCTGGTCCTAGAGCACTGGAACCTGTCAGATAAGGAAGAAAAGGGTCTGGCTGACTCTCTTACTTGGTTGCTCTGTTAAAATCCAGTCAGACAATCATCTGAAGAGAAACAGAGGAGGAGAGCAAGGACTTGAATCATTTCAAGGAATGTCATTTCTGCTTTCATTACTATATACTGCTTGGAACTAAAGCTGATCTGTATTGTCAATTGCCATCTGAATTATTAAGTATTTTTCCCCTTATCTGTCTTCTTCCCAGGTGCTAGAGTCAACAATTACAGACAAACTTCAGTTATTTCACCAGAGAAGGAGAGAGGGTTTTCCTGTGGGTTGATTCAAGGCTTGGGGACTTACAGTTGATTCGAGAAAAATGCCCTGTTCAAGTACTCACTAAAGTACCAGCAAAGGAAGGCATGCAGCATTTTTAAAATGAATTTTCTATTTCCCAGATAGGCAAACGAGTGGGATATGATGGTTCATTTAAATGAATGATCACATGCATCTCTGCCTCTTTTGCACAAAGAAGGCAGCATCACCGACTTCCCTTTGCATTTGTATCTTCCACTTCCCAGCCAACAAGAAATAAATCATTTTTGTGGTCCTAACCTAGGTAATCAGCCAAACACTACTGACCAAATCAATGAATGAAATAAACAGTAGACAAATTTGCTAATGAACTCCTTCAGGAAAGTGCACAAAGAAAAAGTAATTTGGCTCTCTCGACCCCCAGTGCTGGTTTAATTTCATAACCTGTCCACTGAAAACCTCCTACACAAGCTCCATAACACTCGCTCTTAGAATTCTGCAGACATGAGTTTAATCACAAAAAGATCCACAGAGAGAAAAAAGAGAGAGATTTTAGAAACCTTTACAATGTCTAAAATAGCTCTTTGATGCATAGCAGATGTGCTCAAAACTAGCATAAATCAAGCCAAAATGCCTGACAATCACGGAAAAGGGAGATTCCAAGATAAGAAGATGTTTCTAACCACGGTAGCTTTGAAATACAATTGGAATTTTTTGTTAATTGTCAACCTCAGGGAAAACAGATGAAAGGAACCCTTTTGTCCCTCATTTTGGACAAGTGTCCTACTGGTATACGTGCTACACAAAGACTGGACTTCTGCCTGAAATCAGTTCCTCTGTATGGATAAAAGCTAATAGATGGGTTGAGACGCAGGAAGAGACAGTAGAACAAGCAGTGAGATGTGGACATGACAGACTGTCATGAAGGAATGCCTGTCCTCCCTCCCCAATTAGAAAGGAGGAGCTTGGTGGGCTTCACTGTTAAAAGGAAGGCCTGAAGTTTGATTGAAAGAGGGCTAGTGAGAAGACACTGATGGATATTTACAAGGCAGTGTCTCTCAGACACATAGCACAGGAAGAAAAGTGAGGAGGCACAACACTGGGAAAATGATGAACAGACCCATGAAAACTGACACAGGAATAAAAGCAGGGGTGGGATTCCCCAGTCCAGCTGTTTACCAGAGAGGATTGCCAGAATAGAAATATGCTCTGAGGAATCCTCAGAAGGGAGAAATGAAGTCTGTGATACCATGGAGAAGGCAGTACAACTGAAAAACACCTCAAAGCACAAGTATGCAGCCAAAGTGATGAGCCAAGACAAGAATCTTCATATTGCTCTTCTGAATGATGCATCTGATACATGTCAGGACTCAGTTTTCACAAAGATTTAATTCTCCTATAACTCCTTTAACTTGAACATTAGGTTGTGCTCACAGTGTGCTTCATACTAAGATATAAGAAAAAGTTGGGTAGAAGGCTAAAAGACTGAGGGTACAGTAAGACAGAAGACTCAGTAGGAAATAAATCTTAAGAAGAATACTGTCAACATTAAAAGATTTTAAGTACATGTTTAAAGGTGAAAAAGATAGGACTGATTTCACCATGCATGTCAATGGCACATCTGTGCTTAGTACTAAAAAAATCTGGAAAATCAAGCAGTGACAATGATACCATAAAGGATTAGTGTTCCCCACATCAGCTCCCCACATCTGCTCTTCCCACTTCTTCCTGGCAGTCTTTACTCATCTTCTTTCCTTCTTCTGCAAGAAATAGGCCCAAACCACAAGATGCATATCTAGATTTCAAATACATGAATGCTTTGGCTGAAGAGATGAGACAGGAAACCTGAACAACGCCAACGTGAACCACAGACACCAAATCCAGGGGCTTCTGGATGCAGCACTTGGGCCCCGTTCTATCATCTCTTTCTGGCCCCCTCTCTCTAACTTTATTTGTGCAACTCTCTTCCCTTTGCTGGCTGACAGCTTTAATTTCTCTAGCATACAAAGAAGGCTTGTATTCTGCATACTTCAAGCCCTCCTTAACTCTTTACACGTATGGCAATATCACAGAATACTATACAGAGTTAATGAATGCTTTCCCCACATGCTTCAGATGACAGAATTTATGATGACAAAAAGGAAATCCAGTAAGGAGCTCTCTCCTCAAATGACATGATACAGAAGAGAAACCCAATAGTTGTTCCCATCCCCTGTGATAAGTTTTAAGGAATGAAGGTTTCCTTGCAACTCATAGTGCTATCACCATGAAGTCTGACTACTTAAAGGACATCTTCCTTCCAAGCTTGCCACATTTTCAAACATGGAAGGTGTACTTAGATAGCAGAACAAAAACTGCTCTTTTGCATGGCAGATCAAATATCTCCTTTACTCACCGCACAAAAAACCAGAACACTGTCTGCCAAAGTGGAAAGTAATATAAAATCACCTCTACTACTATCTTCCTCTCCCTTTTAAGGTGAATCAATGGGAAGCAAACTCAGTTTTTCAGAAAGAACCTCTTCTATGTAATATACAAACAGAAATTCTTCTTTCTCTCCCACTCCAGCATCGCTTTCTTCCCACTCCCTTCATGTGCATTACCAGCAGTAGAGATCAGAACAGCAAGACAAAGGCCAAAGCTAAACAGAATCACAGGTCCAGTTCGGCACAAAATCTACTGAAGTAATTTCAGTTGTTCCCTGGGACAATCTGGTTATCATGCTTTGGAGGTCATGCTACAAAACATGCTTGCAATGCACTGAGGAGCCTTGCCTCATTTCTGCAGTTGCCTGAATTTCTACTAAAATTTTCAGTAACACTGGAAAAGAAAGAAACTACTGCAGAGTTCACAAATCACCAGCAGGATACAGGCCTGTTGAGTCACTTACCTGTTGGGGTGAGGTGCCTCCAGGTGATCACAGGCTCTGGACGCCCATTTGCCATGCAAACCAGGGTCACATTGCTGCCTTCATTCACGGTGATGTCCGAGGAGATATTGGAGATCTTTGGTGGAACTGTGAAGACAAAACAAAGTTGGACCTCATTAATTCTGGAGGGAAGCTGGTCCTACTTATTAACCAAAGGCAGACATGAACTCCTCTCACAGATTGCACTCCAGTTTACCACCCAGTTTTCTGAATTAGAACAGTGCTCCAAATATAAGGTTATGGCTTCTTAGCATCCGAGAAAATCAATTCAAGTGTAACAACCTTTCAATGGTTTCAAAGACGTAAAAAGAGAATGGAAAAAGATACATAGAGCAATGCTCTGCTTTCAGGAGTAACGCATGGGGTAAAGCAGCCGGGAGAGGGAAAAGAGAACTGAAACAGAGACATGGGCAAGGTCACAGCTGAGTCAGGAAACACTGAAAAAGTAGGGTCTTCTGGCTGTGAGAAAGCTGTCAGCATTGATTAGAGAGCACCTGATACATGCCCCAAAAGCCCAGCAGCACTAACTTCTGTGGAGGCACAGTCATAGGACTAGCATGACTCACCTGAAATATGCAACGAGGAGACCAAATCAGAATCTCCAGGAAAGCCTCTTGCACAAGACTTCCTTTAGCTATCTTCTCTCCTTAATTTTGTTTTTCTGGGAGCTGCCCTACAGGACTACCTCTGTTTTGAGGACCTACATCTTTGAAGAGGTAGAAATATCTTTTTCTGCAACTGTGATACTTTATGTTTGTAGGCTTCATAAAGGAACCTCTTGGAACTTGCCTTACTGCCCCAAGGCTGCACAGAAGAAGGTCAACACTACACATTGCCCCAGCTCTCAACATTCATTTTGAAACTAAAATAACCCTCGACACTATTTTATGTCCTCCTGCAGGGTTCCAGACCTAAGGCACAGAATCAGAGGTACACTTGGTATTGATGCCTTCCCTGAGCAGATACAACTCATGGTAAGGGCATGTGGCCCTGCTCTGTTGCTGTTTGTGTTACCAAATGCTCACTGGGAATGGATCTAGAGAGCCCATAAATTCATTTCCTCCCTGACTGCCACAACAAGTTCAAGAAGCAGAGATGTGAGCCATGGCTTATGGAGATTTGCTGCGTGAAGGTACAACAACAGCAGGAAGTTTTCTGTGGTGCCTTTCAGCTAAGCAGGATGCCAGACGCTATCCGCACCTCCCATGGCACAGCTCCCAAAGCACAGTAGAATGGTTAAAGGTTCATACCAGCCACAGCTTTTGCTCCTGATGCCTTAACGGCCTTCTCAAGTAACTGAGTTTCTGTCAGGAAATGAAGTGATCCACAGGGGCTTGAAGCAGAGGCTGTGGGCAAGGAGCGAGCCCTGTGTTTCAGCCTTCCAGCCATTTTCTGAGGCAAAACAAGCCGTGGTTTGTTCCTTCCTCATGTTTGTGTCTCTTCCATGCTTCATGCCCAGGAGGAGGTGAGGGAGTTTAGCTAAAAAGGAATCTTCTTACTTTCTACTTTTTTTTTTCCCCAGCTTCCAAATTTGTGTGTAGCGAGGAATGAAACAACATCATTTTCTGCTTTGCTTACCACAGAGTAAACAGACAGCAACCTCCTCTTTCAGCTCCTTGGCAGGAGTGGCTGATGGCCCTTCTGAGGCAGAGCTGCCTATAGATAGGTGGGGAAAAGGAAATGAAGCCTGAAGAGAGCAACTCACGTCAGCAAGCTGTGTACCTGGATTCATAGCAGTGGTGTTTACAACCCCCATTCTGTTGGCCCCAAACTCACAGCCAGGCCTTCAGTATCTATGACCATGGCATCATTTTGGAGGAGCAAGGGCACCCAAGCAGGAACTACTTGAACAAGGCAAATGCATATTTGCAGGCAAGCTTGCTAACCTAGGTGAGGAGGGATTGAAATGAAGAGTGGGGAGGGATTGTCATAGTATGGAGAGAAAGGACGGCACCGTAGTCAGTTAGAGAGCAGAGGGGACCAGCAAAACAGCAAAGGATTTTGCACTCTGCTTGTGAAAGCTGCGGGTCCATCTCAAATGGGCTGTGCACAAATACAGTCATCACAATGACTGGAGTACACCCAGCTGTGTTCTGAATGGTGAGCTGGCTGGGAGCTATGGATCAGAGGCTATCAAAGCATCACACTTGATGGCTGTTTTTTTTTGCTACCAAGCTATTTCATTATGAAGAGACAGTGGATTAAGTGTCCTTTTGTGAGACAGAAGAAGCCTCCAAGTCACAGGCCTGGCAGGGAACTTCAGCCACCCTGATATTTGCTGGATAGGTAAAAGTAGCCCAGCAGAAGTAGTGGTTCCACAGGTTTAGCGTAAGCTTGTGCCCTTGCAACAAAGATGAACCGTATCTTAGGCTGTATTAACAGGAGCATAACCACCTAAGTGGAGGGAAGTGGTTATATCTCTTTATATGGTGCTTCAGATGCTGTCTCTTAAGCACTACATCCAGTTTTGGGCTCACTAGTACAAGAATGCCATTGACATACAGAAGCAAGTCCACCAGAGGGCTTCCAAGATGATCAGAAGGCTGCAAGCGCACAGTGTACAAGCACTGCCTGAGAAAGATGGGTATGTTCACACTCGAAGAGAGAAAGAAGAGTGAAGGTCTTACTACTGTCTACAAATACCTAGTGGAAAGGTGCACAGGCGACATTCAGAATTGCACAGTGATCAGCAAAAAGCAGCAGACGAGCTGCTACACAGTGACAATTCTAACTCAAAATGAGGAAGAAACTTTCATTTTTGGGAAATCAAAGACAGGAACAGATTCCCAAAGAGGTGGTGGAATCCCTGGAGATACTCAACCCTTGCCTGGATGAAAACCTAAGCAACCTTCTCTAACTGGCACCAGAATGGAAATAGAAATGAATTTGGAAGCCAGTCTGCTGTGCAAGAGTTTGTGTTGATGGCTGAGCTCTTGGTGAGGCAACTGGAGTAAGAGATGTAAGAGACAGTTGATTGCACCTGGGTTCCCTTTCCAGGAGATAAGGAATTTCAGAGCAGGGATATCTTCCTAAGAGCACAACACTGAGTAAAGCAAGGCAGAGCAGAAAATCAACCCCTTTCTCTCAAAGCAAAATCCTCTGATAAACAAGCCTTGATACCTTTTACATCAATGATTTCCTGTGAGCCATTAGTAGTGCATCCATACTTGTAGGAAGAAGTTGGAGAAGACATAAGGAAAAAAAAAACAACAAACAAGCATTGCTGAAAAACACTGATGTTGCCAAATAATTATATCTCACCATGCTGAGGGATGTATGAGAGTTCCACTGACTGTGAAAGCGATCCATTTCCTGCTTCCTTCCCTTTATCACAGCCCTATCCTCAGGATTTTCTGCACAGCAAATGCTTGGCAGTACAAAACAACAGTCACACAGTGCTCTCCGGAAGTGGCCACTAATGCCTCAGGACTGCAGAAAGGACAGCAGAAAGAAAACACCCCAGGTAGGAAATCAAATGCCCTGCCTCCTCCAAAAGGCACTTATGGTTTCACGTTTGTGGTATGCACAAACAGCATTGAATTGCAGCACCATGATGAGATCTGGCTCAGCACTGAGTAGGCTTTGTTTTAAACTTGTAGGCTTAGCGTGATAAAGAAAAATGGAGTGCTGCTATTTTTGCAAGAGTTGTGCCCAACTTCTCTGTCAGTGGACACAAGGATAGTGATTTCACAGCATCCTCAGCACAGCTGAGTTTTGATGTGCTGGTGAAAACATGAAAGCAGAGCCCTGAGGAGACAAGAACAGTGCTAGACAACATGTTCCAGGGACTTACCTTAACCTCAAAGGGTTGGGGATTGCATCAGGAAAAAAAAGCCCCATAACAAACCAAGAAAAGGTCTGTTCTGGACTAAGCTGAAGTAGGCCTAGCAGATGGAGGCTCTGGCAGAACGGTCAATGCAGGCCAAATGGCTCAGCAGACAAAGCCACCATTGGGCATCAGCAGCAGAGCTTCAGTTAGGACATGTGCACCCTGCCCCTTCCAAAGCCGTCAAGTCATTTTAGTTTGCAGCACATCAAACGAACTCAGAAATAGATCTGACCACGCAGACCAAATGCCCAAGAGGAGAAGGATATGTCCAGATGGTCATATCTAGCTTGCCACTTTTTCTGTGGAAGAGAAAAGAGGGCATTCAAGGCTGAAATCCTATTAGAAGTGTAATGTCTGGTTGCCTTCAGCCTGCTACCTTGGACAGAGGGCAAGGAAAGGCTGAGAGGAAGGGGGATAGCGTAGGAAATAATTTTTCTGTGAATGTAAAGCCCAGTTTAGATTATCCTGCTTAACAGCCAGTCAGCATTAAAAGTGACCAGATCTTAGCGGACATTAATTTCTCTCAGACAAAAAAAATCAGAGACTTCATTTTCAAGATGTCAAGATGGCATGTTAAAAATGCTGAAATTGTCAGCACCAGCAACAGTTAGCATTGCCTACTTGGCACTTGTCATTACTTCGTACACACCTTTTTAGGATAGTCTTAAAATGAGAAGCTTTGACCTTATTATTTTTTTCCCAAGTGTGGGCTGTGTTATATGTTCACTGTTCCCAGACTGCAGGAAGGATGACTGCTGAGAAAAAAAAATAATCCTGTAGGCCGAGGAGCTTCTGAGATGCGACAGTTTCCTCTTGCCCAGCCATCTCTTAGTGACTCCCATCTAGCAAAACCTCTCACGCCTGGCCTCTCTGAGCCACTAGCATCAGGGCAAAAAAATCACAGCCTGGAGACCTGCAGAATGGGAAGCATTACAATTAAACAGCACTTTCCCACGTTCTTCTATTCAGCTGAACAACTTGCCCCTCCAGACATCAGGCTGCTGTCGGATCCTTTTGGCTCTGGTGATGTTGGGAAAGCACTGCCAGGTCTACGGTACTGCTAAGGAAGAATAAGCTGCCAGATTGTTTTTCTCCCTTCAGCATAAAAGGGCAGACATTACCCTATGCTTAGGGACCCACTGGAAGGAGGGAGAGAAGGGACCGATGTGCAGAACACCACATAACACAGCCATACTCATACCAAGGACACGTTCTGGAGAGCTGGAAATGAATTCAAGGAAGAACAGCTTTTCATGAA